AAAATTATCAGCACTCACACTGTTGGGTAGCTAAATAAAACAAATTTTTATTGGTCACCAAAACAACTGTTTTTACCTTTTAACAGAAAAATATTTCATCAACAAAAGCTTAACACACAAAGTGACACCTGGGAGGAGTAAGTTAACTGCAACCTGTGTGACCTTTACAGATCTTGTGCTTTACTGTGTGACCTGTACAGATCTTGTGCTGCACTGTGTGACCTGTACAGATCTTGTGCTGCACTGTGTGACCTGTACAGATCTTGTGCTGCACTGTGTGACCTGTACAGATCTTGTACTGCACTGTGTGACCTGTACAGATCTTGTACTGCACTGTGTGACCTGTACAGATCTTGTACTGCACTGTGTGACCTGTACAGATCTTGTACTGCACTGTGTGACCTGTACAGATCTTGTACTGCACTGTGTGACCTGTACAGATCTTGTACTGCACTGTGTGACCTGTTTGGATGTTGTGCTGCACTGTGTAACCTATACGGAGCTGGTGCTGCGCTGTGACCTATATGGAACTGGTGCACACTATGTGACCTGCACAGTACTAGTGCTGCACTGTATGACCTGTACAGAACTGGTGCTGCACTGTGTGACCTACACAGTTCAAGAGGGTTCAAGAGTTCAAGAGCTAACAGCTCAATCCTGCAAAAACACTTAGTAAATACAGTACTTGTATTGCACTCTTGACTGTATACAGCAGTTGTGCTTTACTCTTGACATAGTACAGACTAGTACTGCACTACTATAGAGTACCTGTAGGGTACTGGTTCTGTAGTGCTGATAGAGCACAATGTTACAATACACACTGAAGAATTATATACAACACTACTTTGTCAAAACTGCCCAGGATTCCTTATAAATATAAAGGGAAATTTATATCATGAATATCTGCAGAGAAGCTGTGTAATATGAACTTCAAACTGATCAGCTACATTCCTCCTCCTGCCACTTTTACCGTTTATCGAACATTGGCAGTGACACGATTAATATCTTATCAATATGGAAATGTTTATGGAAAAGTACAATCAAGTCTTTGGTCAATAATATACTATTGTTAATTGAATCCTTGAACGACAGTGCATGCATATCTAACATTTACAATGAAACAAAGCAGTGTATATAAGTAGATTATAAAGTCCCCTCCTCCGGGAGTAACATCCAAGTCCGGCAAAATCATTAAGGTATGACTGATGTAATTTAAGTACCCAAGAAAGGCACTGGATGCAGGACAATGAAGTTCAAATTACAGTTGATGTAGATGAGTAATAAAGCAAATTGCACTTACGAGGAACAATATACCCATCATGAATTTGGCAAGAAATAGCATGACAAAATTTTGGAATACAATGAGGCATAGCTGAAGCTGCTTGTTTGTTCATGAAAGATTGCTACTGAAAAGTTGAAGGTGCCAGTGAGAGCCAAACTTCTAGCAGGATTTTGTAACTTGCAAAACCTATCCTAAGCTTACGAGTCATGGCAGCTAACATTTTTCAATTCATTTATCTTATACAATAGTTCAAGCCACACACGCACACATACACACACATACATTAATACAGCAATTGCACTTGGGCTTCAGTAAACAGCGAAATACAACTGTCAGCAGATCTTTGCACTTCAAGCATGGCTGATTCTCAATATTACAGACTTGAAGTTTAAATGAATGCGATTAGATTCTGGAGGGTACTTTGTGACTATACAAGACCTTTTTAATAAGGACTCCAAAGCATTTCCTAGCTTTAACGATTTGTTTTGAACATTCCTATTTTTATTTTTTATAAATAAGTGTTTTGCTTAGAAAGTTCAGCAGTAAAGAAAATTATAAATACAAGTCATTAAAGATTCTTTGGTCTTCCAATATCAAGCTGTTTTAAAATTTACTTCTTACTGTTTTATCTTAAGTGTTTTTATCTCCACATCTTGTGGCCTCTGAACGATATACCTTAAGTATATTTGAGATATATAATCACAGAAAAATTTATAAGGATAAAGGGTATTGAAATAGAACATCAGAATATGGTAATATGTTAACATATACATCCTTCTGGTAACATATCTAATTAGCATCATCTAATTTAGGCATTTTCTTAAGTTACTTAATGATAAAATGCATTCTTAGTTATTAAACCTAAAGTTATCATTTTCCAACTGATATCTCTTTATACATTAGGCCATTGGCACAGATGACTAGTTGCAATAGAAATTCCTAAAAAAGTCTTTCATTTATCACTCCACATGATGATTCAAAATCTGATGTATGATAAACAAAAATGCATCAAAAAATTAGACAATGTGATATATGTCATCTTTAAATAATGACATGCACTGTATGTACAGTTAATTCTGAAACTCTACATAAAGGAGTGTGTGTGGAATGTCAGGGATTCAGCTGTCAACGGGTCATCAGAAAATATCTTCCCCCAGCTGCCAACCGCCGGTGTCCCGGCTCTTCGTGATAAACCACACGCTCATGATGGACACAACACTGTAAAAACACACAAAAAACAAAAGAAAATATTAACTTCATTTTCGAGTCACATTTTCCCACTCAGATTTTCAATGCACACAAAACTGGAATCACAAAAAAATTAATTTAGTTGAACTTCCATTTTAAATTTATGCCCAAGTATTTCTGAATAGTAATAATAGTAATAGCCATTACTCCATAAATGCTACTACTATTGTACTGTAAGTGATAGTGTTGGGATAACTATTTTTTTTATCAATACAGTACATATTGCTTTGGAGGATTAGTTTGAAAATAACATTGAAGACTCAAACCTTCTCACCCCAATAAAGCATAGACTTGATCAGTCAAATAAGTTTGACAAATACAAAACAGAGAAAGTATAATCTTAACATTCACAGATTTTGAGTTCAGTATTTAGATAATTACAATATTGTATAATTATATTTGTTTGGCTTTGTCATCAGGCAATAAGGCAGTGATTCTTTTGGTTCTTTTTTTGTCCAATTTAAAGGAAATAAATGAAAAAAGACTAAGCTGGGAGAAGGGGGTGTATCCTTTCATCCTGTATAAGTTGGGATGCTCTTTGTGGAAGATACTATACTACTACTAAAGTAGCAGACACAAACTGCAGGATACAGAATGAATTTAAAATACAGGTAGAGTACATTGTAGTCCATATAAAGAGGAACCTAAATTCAATTAAGAACCTGTGCATTTGAAATAGATGTACAAAAAAAACAGTGTTGAATGTAATGAATTGCCATTTTCTGGGTGAGCCCCGGAGACTCCCTGGAGCTTATCGGGCTAATGTATGTTATATTAGACTGGGACATTAGCTATGGAGTTCAGACCTACCAGGGACCAGCGCCAGAACCTGGCTCCTTCAGAGAGGTTTCAGGGAGCAATGGCCCTGGAAAACCCCCTTGTGGTTAGGGGTTTTCCTTATCTGCCATCGACCGGGGTTAGGCACCCAGAAAGTTAGGCATAACAAAACAAAACCCCGCATGGTAAGAAACAAACAAAAAACTGAACAGAAAGGTAGAAACTCCCTACAATCTCAAGGCAACAAGCAAACATCACACACTTTACTGCCATACCGATTGTGCGCACAGCCCTCCTCGCCCTCACAGATGACTGCCCCCCCTCACCGCGCTGGCTGCCTAGCACCAGTTCGGAAGCTAAGCTTCAACCAACATGAAAAAAATGCCGACCAGTGGGAGGGAGGGTTGCCAGGGAGCCTCAGAGGCTCACCGAGAAAATGGCATTTCATTACATTCAACACTGGTTTTCTATGGGGAGCCCCTACGGCTCTCTGGAGCTTCATACCCAAAGAGAAGGAAAAGAAAGGACTGGCCCAGTTAGCGGCCGCCACAAATTCCGCAACGTGAAGTCGAGACATCAGGCAGCAACCTTGCAGCAAGCAAGTCGACGAAGAACTCTGTAGGGTAAGGCAGGTCCTAGTCAACAACGGCTTCTCCAATGGTTTCGTCGAAGACATCATAAAAAGGAAAGTGAAACGCCATGCAACCTCTGAAGAGACAACTAACACAACACCTATACCCCCTATTAGACTATTTTACAGGAACTTCTTTTCCACAGCTCATAAAACGGAGGAAAGGGTCCTGAAAGATATTGTTAATAGGAACGTTATCCCTACAGACAAAAATCAGAGGATACAACTGACGATTTACTATAAAACCAGAAAAACGGCCAGCCTACTCATGAGAAACTCTCCAGACACAAAGCAGAACGCTTTAAAAGAGACCAACGTCGTCTATGCCTTCAAATGCCCTCTTGGGGGACTGTAAGCTCCAAAAAACCAGCGTTGAATGTAATGAAACGCCATTTTCTGGGTGAGCCCCGGAGGCTCCCTGGAGCTTATCGGGCTAATGTGTGTTATGTTAGACCGGGACATTAGCTAAGGAGTTCAGACCTACCAGGGACCAGCGCCAGAACCTGGCCCCTTCAGAGAGGTTTCAGGGAGCAATGGCCCTGGAAAACCCCATATGGTTGGGGGTTTTCCTTATCTGCCATCGACCGGGGTTAGGCACCCAGAAAGGTAGGCGTAACAAAACAAACCCCACATGGTAAGAAACTACAACAAAAACCGAACAGAGAGGTAGAAAACTCCCTACAATCCCAAGGAAACAAGCAAACAAGCAAACATCACACTTTACTGCCGCGCCGATCGTCCGCGCAGCCCTCCCCACCCCGGGAGGGGGAGGGGGGAGCCCCGGACCTACCGCGCCGGCTGCCAAGCTCCAGTTCGGAAGCTAAGCGTCAACCAACGCGAAAAAACCGCCGACCGGTGGGAGGGAGGGTTTCCAGGGAGCCTCCGGGGCTCACCCAGAAAATGGCGTTTCATTACATTCAACGCTGGTTTTCTGTGGGGAGCCCCTACGGCTCCCTGGAGCTTCATACCCAAAGAGAAGGAAAAGAAAGGCTAACCCGGGAGGCGGCCGCCACAAACTCTGCAACGCAAAGCCAAGACAACCGGACGCAAACCTGCGACCCAAGGCAACAAGAACGCCCAAGAACAGACGCACACATGGATGGGCGGCCAAAAACCTGTGCGACCCACAATTCCCTGCGCCCGAAATGAGCCCGAGACGTCACCAACACAGCAGCAATTGCTGCAAACGTCTGAACAGCACGGGCGCAAAGACAGACCGCAGTAAGAAGGAAAACACTGCGGACGACCCGGGAGACCCGAGCCCTGAAAACAGGGAACGAAGGAACCGGATCAACCACAGCGCATCCCCAGGCATGGTACGCCGGCAACAGCAAAAAGCACAACTGGACAACACAGGACGCACCCCCCGGCCAAACCAAACAAGTACCAATACCCCAAGAACCCCTCCGGAAAGCAGCCGCCTCGACCGTCGCCAGGACAGAGAAAGGCTGCACACCAATAAACCAACCACCAGTACCAAAGAGGAGGAAACTGAAACCGAAGGGGCTACCACAAACTGAGGGGAAGAGAAGAAGGCACCCTGAACAAGGACCAGGATGGCTCAGGCGACTCATGAGCAGGCCGGAGGGGAAACAAAACGCGAGAAGACGTAATAAACGTCATACAGTCTCCAAGACGAAGCTCGCAGGTGGGACACCGTCAACAAAGCCACCTGAACACCATAGAGATGGCGATACCTGCGTCAAAATACCAGACGCGAAGAGCCAAAGAGAAGGCCGAACCAGTCACGGACAGGACCGATTCGGCCTGCTGAAAGAGGCGAAGCCTCAGGAAAAACGCCCCGGGTACGGACACCTATCAAGCAGCGTCTGAAAAGAAGGCCGGGCCGGCCACAGTGGAACCATAAGGACTGTTCTCGTGGGAATGGGCTGCAACTGAGCCAGAACCCGAAGCAACAGCTGGACCGGGAGAAGAGGTACAGGTACCCCCCACCTCGACCAGGCCTGCCGAAAGCCTCCACCGTGAAGACCTCGCAGGTGGGAAGGGCGCCACAAAACGGGCGACGCCTAGACCACGCCGACCCGAAGACGTCCATGGCCATGAGTCCATAAGCCCAACAGAGCCAACAAAACGCATCGGCGACGACTGGCCAACCCACGAAGAGGAATGAACCGAGACAGCTGTCCACCAGGACGCAGGACACACCCCGGACACGAACCACACGGTTAACCAAACCCCCTGTGGTTCCGGCAAGAACCACCGGAGAACAGTCCAAACAGAGCTGAATGGTAGAGTACCTAGTGACCCAAACCCTCCGAAGCGCAAACCAGACAGCCATGAACACCTGAACCGGGCTGTGAGCCCGACGGACAGACAGACTCCATCAACCTCGGCCGACCTGGTGAGCACTGGTCACAAAGCCCCAGCCAAGAGACGACCCGTCCGTGAACACATCGAGCGAAGGCTCGGGGAGCCGCCAAGGCACGGAACCCCGAAAACCCCAAAGAGGAAGCTGGTGACGCAGCACCAACACCAGATCCCCAGAGGAACCCAAGGAATGCAAGAGGCGGAAGTGGAGTCTCCGTAGGAACCAACCGACGCCGGAGCCAAACCCGACTCCGTGGGCAGACAAGCACGCCGAAGTGCAAACTCCCGCACAACCGCCCAAGCAACCGCTGAGCAACCCGGGACCCCCTCCTGAACAGCCAAAGGCGGGACCACAGCCACAGTAACACTTCTGGAGGGAAGACAATGAGGGGCCCAAGAGCCTGAAACAAGGCCCAGGTCCGAACCCGGGACGGAAACAGAAGGTAAAACCTCCAGATCACCAGGAAACCAAACCCAGCGATCTGGAAAGAACCATCCCCTGGCGAGCAGACAAGCGGACTGACTGGGAGCCCACTCCAGCCAGTCGTCGAGGTAGGCCAGACACCGAATCTCAGACGCAGACAGGGCACTAAGATCCGGTAAAGATGCAAAGAGTATACAAAGTGCCCTTCACAAAATAGGGAATGCAATAAAAACAGCAAACCTGAAAGCCCCACCACCAAAGCATTGTATGACAATCATATGAAGACATTATGACATATGACAATCATTATATGACAATATGACAATTATAATCAAAGCATTATATGACAAAGAGTGCTGGGAAGACAGGACACCACGAGAGTAGCTCTCATCCTGTAACTACACTTAGGTAAGTACACATAGGTAATTACCAACCGTGCTAGCCCCAGAAAAACTGGAGGGGAACGTGCCAAGAAGTGACCTGGAGGTCCAGGTCCACCATCCATGCACCCGGCCCTAACAGAATCCGAACAGGAGACAACAGTCCTCCGAGCAGGGCAGAGGATCCAGGGCGCAGACGGAAGTAGTCCAGAAGAACTGCAGACTGGAAAAGCTCATGACTGCAAAGAGCAGACGGGAAAAACTCATGACTGCAAAGAGCAGACGGGAAGCCCAGAAGGATGGGGCGGATCGACCACGCCCCACGCACCCACGAAGAGGAAATGACGAAGCGCAGGGAAGAAGCCCACCCCGCCAGCTCTGAACCCCCCCAAGGGGGAGAAGCCGTCCTCCGACGCCAGCAGAGGCCGGA